CATTCCGTTTCGCGGTGTGATATTCGATCTCATAATCAAACTCGGACAATTTTACAAACCATCTTCCCACTCGCGGGTTTAAATCCCTTTTGGTACCTAGCATTTTAAGGCTATTGCAATCTGTTTTTATTACAAAGTGGATTCCTATCAGATATACGCGAAATCTTTCCAGCGCACAAACGATGGCTAAGGCTTCTAGTTCAAACGAATGGTATTTTGCCTCTTCAGGCGTTGTTTTACGACTGTAATAGCACACGGGTTGCCAAATTTTTCCATTTTGTCTTTGTAAAAGTACTGCACCTAGTCCTAAAGCACACGCGTCTGTATGAACTTCTGTATCTGCGGTATGGTTATATATGACAAGCAAGGGTTTTGACATTAACAAATTTTTAATCGTTTCGAACGCGTTATTTTGCTCTGCATCCCAATGAAATTTCGTTTCCTTTCTTAATAAGTCGGTTAAAGGTTTTACTATAAGCGCAAAGTTTTTGACAAATCGTCGGAAGTAGCTTGCTAACCCCACGAAACTTCTCACGTCGCGGATCGTCTTTGGCATTGGGAATGATTTGACACTCTGCACCTTTCGTTCGCTTGGTCGTATACCTAAAACTGATACTTCAAACCCCAAATATTCTACTCTTAATTTAAGGAAATGACATTTTTTTAGGTTTATGGTTAATCCCGCGTCTCTAAAAACTTCGAAAATTTGTACTAGACGATTCAAGCCCTCCTCTACAGTCATACTCGGTATAATGACGTCATCTAAGTAAGTCATAGCTATATCATTACGCAGAGAACCTAGGATAGTATTTATCAACCGCTGAAATACCGCGGGCGCGTTACATAGGCCGAAGGGCATCCTTTTAAATTGGTGATGTCCGTCTGGTGTTATAAAAGCTGTTTTTTCTCGCGACCCTGGTTCTACCGGCACTTGATAATAACCGCTAAAAAGATCTATACTCGTATAATATTTTTGCCCGTGTAGTCTATCCAACTGATCATCCACGCGCGGCAATGGATACTTATCTTTAACGGTCGCCTTATTAATTGCACGATAATCGACGCACATCCGCATTTCGCCGTTCTTTTTTCGTACTAATAAAACCGGACTGGCAAAGGGAGAATTACTATTTTCTATGACATCCGCCGTCTGTAAATCATTAATCATGTCTTTCAATTGTTGTCTTTCGTGATAGGGCATACGATACGGTCTATAAACTACAGGTTTGTCCGTCGCAAGTTCTATTCGCATTGTCGCCCTATCTGTTCTACCTAGCTGTTTCATCGTATTCGCAACAAGGTCACGGTTCTTATTGAGCACACGCAGTAGATCGTCCTTCTCTTCTCCCTCTAAGTCTGTGTCAACTCGATCCTCGGTAATCGGCTCGTCGTTGATCTCTCGCTCAAGAGCTCGCTCCTCGCAGACTTCCCCACGGGTGATGATGTCGCCTGGCTGGATCGTTACTCGCTGACCGGTCACATTTAGGACAGGTAGAACGGTCTGTCCTTTCTCGCCCGTGGCGACGACGCATCTAGGTATTATGGGGCCTACCTCCCGTAGGCCACCCTCGATACACATCTGCTCGTTTGGTACATGACCTACTACAACAATATGACCCAGATAATTATTTGGAATTACATACTGTTTGTCGGCTCGGAATGTGGTTTTTTCATTGAACTGTGTTACGTCATCCCCTGGTTTGTCAAAAGTGGTCATCACTCTCAACTCGCCGCTGCGGCTCACGATGACGACCTCGGGATGCTCGGTGTAAGGATGTCCTACCAACAGTGGCACGGCTTGACTTCCTTTTGGCACCACGTGAATTTCAGTTCGTACCGCAACACCTTCGATGCTGATGGTTGCCGTTAATACGCCCACCGGTTGGACTCTGCCTTCACCGTACCCTATAAAACTGTTTAAAAATGTCTCATGGTAAGTTAAACCAAGTTCGTTAGCCACGTCTTGCCGCAATGTCACCACACTACTCCCCAAATCGAGATAACACTTGACCGGATGGCCGTTCAGCAAAGCGTCCTTGAAATATTTTTGATGCGTGTCGATAGTAACGTGCAGAACTTGGGCAGTCTCGCCTCGTGCTGCCGTGGTTGTCGTCGCTGCTGTGGATCGTGTTGACATTCTTTGTTGATCTCGAGAGATACTCGCCTGGCATGACCGTGACATGTGCCCGCTCTGGCCACATTTGAAACACGTTGGCAACGGTCTCGGCCTCGGACAGGCACGCGCTGTATGCCCTGTTTGTTTACAGGCGAAACAAGTTAACTGCGTGCTGGAATGTGGCGATCTGTTTACATGTCGTCTTTCAAGGACCGTTGGTATCTCCTTGAAACTCAAATTTGACTGCCGTAAATCGGCCAGGAGTTCGCTCGGTCGGCTATAACGACTTAACGGGCCCAAAAAATCCCTAATTCGCGGGCTGTTCAGACCGTCGACGATCCATTCGATCGCCTCACGATCGCCCATTCCAGCTCGAGTACATTTAGCAAGCTTCTCATAAAAATATTCGATCATATCTTGGTTAGGCCTCTTCTTATAATTTTGAGCTTCCATTCTTACACTCACCATACTCTGGTCCGACGGGAAGTTTCCTCGCAAGAGCTCCTTCCATTGTGGCCACGAGCGTTGAATGCTTGGCAGGCTATCTCTCCATTTCCGGGCTACACCTGTTAATTGGGCAAGGGCATGATGTCGAATCGCTATTTCATCCCATTTATAAAGGTCGCCGTATTCCTCGATCTTTTCCATCCATTCCTCGATGGTGAGATCGTTTTTCACCGGATCGAACGTCGGCAGTACACTCGTCACATCGCGAAAATGCCTTTCCTCTTCGTCTCGTCCCTCGTTGGCCATCATTTCGAGAAAATGGTATACGTATACGCTCACTCAGCCGTATATGTCCTTTTTCCTTCAAAATTCCGCACACAACAGTATTTCGCGCTCCAACGCCTGTCTGTGCTCCAACTTAGACACCGAAAACTTGTCCACTGCACTTCGCGCTCCGAATTCCCGAACGTTCCAATAATGACTGCCCGATAAAATTTCGCCACGTGCTCGCGAATAATTCAAACTACGTGATTTAGTCAATTCGATTTAAATCAGTTCACGACTCTCACTCGCAATTTCGATTTACGTGGACCAATCCCACTTCTGATAATTGTCGAGGTGCGTTTTAACAAAATACTAAAATATTTTATTGATACAATCGACTGCCGAAGCGAGGAGAAAACAGGAAGAAGAAGAAGAAGCCCGCTCGCTCGCGGATTATTTATACACCTCGCGCACACGCTCTCTCTTTCTTTCCTTCTCTCGCGCGCGCGCACGCATTTCTATTCTAATTGCGCGAATATTCAAATCGTTGCTACATATGTATGTATAGCAAAGATGAAAGGAGAGAATCTACAGTTTCTACTGTCTTAGAACAGTTTAACAACGTGTATTAAAAATAGTTAAACTTTACACGGGTACAGTTCCGAAACTACTCATGTTTTCGGTATAATTGAGCCATCGTTGGAAGCGGTAAACCTTCCCCTTTAAAATGGTTTTTGGTTTTTGACGATCGGACTTTCCGTTTCGGAGATATCGTAATTTATGTAAATGGTAATTTTTTTAATTCGACTGTCTCTGTCTACGTCTGCGGAGTCGGAGCTCTTTGTCTTACGTGCGTGGCGCTGACCTAGCCCGCGTACCTGACTGTCGTGACCCAGTTTCGGCGTAGTATTTCCAAGAATTTACTACGCACTGTTTACTATTTTCGCGCGCGCGAGATGAATGAACTCGCGAGCACAATGAAACGTAAACAAACCCTAACTAGCCATCCGATCGACGCGAAACTAAAATCGCTATATCTCCGGAACTAATGAAGCTATCGGCTTATACGAACGCTCGTTTTAAAGAGCATTTCATCCCCTATCCGATGACCATATCAACTATTATTATATATGTTGTTTTCTATGTTTATTTTAACATTTATTTTGACTTTACATACCCAGAGAAGTTTTAGTAATTCCTATTGATCGTACGACTAGTGTACTACAAAATTTGACTATAAATTTTTTATTTAATTGAAACTGAATTTAAATAAAGGATGTTTGCGTAATTACTAGTCAGCACTTTTTCTTAACACTAGATTTACGGAAGTCGTCAATTTGACGGATGTCAGATTTCATATTTAATAATATTTTCTAACAACTTATGTTGAATTTGATTGATGCAATGACATGAATACATATTCCAGTTAAAAGAAGAATCGTATTTTAAGGTAATCGTCAACATGACAGGAATCAATAAATATATGTGCGATCAATGCCTGTAAATCTCGTGTTAAATAGTTGTTCTCTCTAGAACTAACTACGGTATAGACTTGGAACAAAATTCATTTTCAAGGGCGTTTTATCTTTTATCCGATGAAAATTAAAAAATTTTGTTAACACAACAGAGAAGGATATCTTAGGAATAAACATCAAAACACAACTTTCTATACATATAATGGAAAAATTAGAAGTACGTTGCCTCGTAAAAGAGAAAAAGAAAGTCATTTGATCGGTCATGGTAAGAATGGGTATATGTGAAGTGCCAGTAGGTCTAGCGTTAATTTTAACAGTTCGATGATACTCTTTTGCACGTATATTTCTATATCCTTTAAAAAGATGCAAAAACAAATCAAATTTTTTAGCGGTTTACTATAGAAGACACCCCGTTAACCTATCCCAATATTCGAGCACGCGATCGAAGGAAAAATAATAACGAAAAAGCACGGCGGGAACGCAACGAAAATCATCGGTGGGATCTCGTGGCCGAAAAGTGTGGCTCGTGTTTCGAAACTAGATTGTCGTTAAAGCCTCGACACCTGTCGGAGAGCCCTCGACTCGAGGGGTGCGTAACCCCTTCGCAAGGCTAATGCACTTGTCCCCGATACCTTTCCAGTCTTCCCGCCCTTATTGTGCCGCTTTCAATCCCAAATTTCATTTTCTCTTTTTTTCAGAACACACCTGCAAAGACTTCCGGTGCACCCAGAACGAGTTCTGCATCGAAACGGACCTTATTTGCGACGGGGTGAATCACTGCGGCGACGGTTCTGACGAGGCCACCTCGAACCTCTGTGCCAGTAAGTTCTAATTACCAGCGATTCATTTAGGAGTGCCCCGTACCCCCGTCTGCGACCAGACTACATTCATATTTCAAACCAAATACGCCGCGGGCAAATTGACTTTGTAATCGAATCTCACGGTGCAGCTAGAATATTGTCCAATTCGTGGGATGCATTAATATGTAAAACTTTTCGTTATTTTCATTATATTCTTTAGTCGAGCTTAATATACAGGGTTACCACATATTGTCATTATTAATGTTAAGCAAAGATGCATTTTATTTTAATTAAGCCAGTCGAAAATATAAAACCACACTTTATTTGATACCTATTTATATAGGTAAACATGTGAGTAAATATTACAGGATGCGTAAACAATGAAAAGAAATACATATACACATATGTTTAGCTAGTTAGTATATTAGCCAGATATAATACTACGAACAGTATATCCGTATGTATATTTTTAAAATGGAATCATACATTTTTTATTACATCTGTCGATGCACCTTGACATTCTTTACACAAAAGTATTATGCTAAAAAATCATCAGTTTAAGAAATATTTTAATTTTGATTTTAAGAAATCATGATTCCTTTATTAAACATTTCCGCAAAGCGTCAAACAATTTTCAAACTACCATATTTCCTACAATAGTGAGCGTATTTCATTGAAATTTATCTATGAAGCAGAGCTCATGGATACTTAGAAAAATGTATTAACGTTGTACTGATTTTATTTTTAAAAAGATTCAGTGTGACCATTTACATCACGACATTTTCTGAGTCGATAGATTATATAATATATCTGGTGTTATTTTATTACTATTATTTTTCAAGTTGAACTATTCCCAGATGTTTACATTTCATAACGTCGTTGACTAACATCGTAAACGAAACTAGAATTAAATAGGGCAAGTGTGATAGTGCTATGATGCAGAAAGTGTTATGTAACGTGTATTCAATTGATAATATTGACAATATTCACGATTCACGACAAATATTGAAATTAAAATATCTCTAAAACTAATGATTTTTTAGCGTAAATAGTTTAATACTTTTTCGTAAAGAATATCAAAATGCATCGATCGAGGCAATAAAAAATATATGATTTCATTAAAAAAAAATGTTACTACAAGAAAACTATTAATAATAATGACGTAAATCTAAATATGCGGAGACTCACGTATCTTTGAACCTTTCACCATCTTGACTATCTGTGTCAACGATTGAAAATTACTGTCGGGGTGTCACGGAATAAACTTTGTAGATATTTCATCCGCAAGGTTTATTCGTTTCTCATTTCCCTCGTGAATTATACTTCGCTCAAACGTCGAGTCACAGCAGTATCGCTGAAGCACCTGTGTTCCCCGGCTCAACTTTTTGTCCTTTTTGCGATACCATAGCATGTCGCGGCCCCTAATGATAAAAAGCAAAGTATGCCGCGCTCTATCGATCTCCCGATTCAACGAAACTGCGTGCACCGTCTCAGAGGGTGGTTTCTGTGTTGGTCTCGCGGTGGGAACACATTGTACAACGCCTCGGGGAATTAATTCTCTTCCGTTGTCAGTTTACTTGGCACCTGGCAGGAAGTTGAACTGCCATTGCTATTTTAATCGCGACGCCCGAAAGTTACTCGCGAGAAAAGGACTCCAAATTGCTGCCACCGGATCGAGAAAGTAATATTTTTTTTTTCTGTTATTTTCGATACTGTAAGTTGCACATTTCTACCTAATAATTTATTTCGTATTACGCTTTTCGGATCTATCAACTCTATTTTTATTTAGTTTTCTTCAAGACGAATTATTTTAAATAAATTGCATGTTTCTATTGCTAATGATTTATTTTGTGTTTAAGGGGTGGAAGATTAAAATGTCACTTTAAGTAAGAAATTGGTTTTATAGATTCGAGACAAACTCCTGATTCAATGTACGAGATGTATGAAGAATTTTAATCCCTGTCAAAAATCATGGTACAAAAAGTGTTTGTCTCTATAATACATTTTGCAACTGTCAACGTAACATAGCGCTTGGAAAAAATTGTGAAACGCAAGAAACCAGGAAATCGTGGCTATAATAAAAATTTGCAGCCCCCGTTTGGGCGAATTCCGAAAAAAGTTTCGTAGTTTTATTTAAAACCGATTGCAAGATACCAGTTTATTTGAATAGTCAAAAATCACACTATATCGCACTGTAATATATTTTTCTATTGTATTCCGCGACCGAGGGAAAAATAAAATCAACGAACGCATTTAGGCGAAAGAACGTTGAACAATGCATTGTCCCGGCGACGGTATGAAAAAAGGCCCGTCGTTTTTCGACTGGTCGTTAATTTTTCAATTTCGCGACGAAGGGTTCCCGCGACGCTGAACTTAATGCGCGGAGTTCGTGAAAAAAGCCTCGCGCCAGCTGACAGACGCTGAAAGACCCCGCTAACAATATTTTTCCTCGTTTGCTTTTCTGTTCCAGACTCCGAGGTGTCTACGATCCTGGGCATGCAGACGACCTGGTTCGCGGTCGCCCTAATTTTTCTGATACTGAGCGTAGCGGGCCTGGTCACGGCGGCAGTTCTCTGCTTTTGCAGACAACGCGCCGCGACCCCCAGGCTCCCTCACAACGCGCACAACGCCCAGACTCATCCTCCGGTCAGCTTCCCATGTGAGTCGCAAAAAGCACATCCGTACACCTTTAAAACGTCCATCCTTCTTGTTGTGTTGTTCACTAGTCGTTAGTCGATGTTTATTCGTTCGACCATCAGGCAGTCGGCCGCCCCCGTTCGCCCTCCTGCATTTTCTACCCACCAACAAGATTTCCCATTTTTCGCTACTGCCCCCCGGGCTATCTCTAATTACAATTTTAACTTTTCCCGTTAACAAAACAAATTTACCGTGTACGCTGCGGAGCACGATAGCACCACTGACATTTTTCAGATTTTTATTGTCGAAATGAAACATTCAAAGAAATTGTAGAACGTGAAGAAGTGTAAACAATGAACTTTCATTATGCAATCGGTCCAAATCTTCTTCTTTTTTAGGGTTTTACGTTGTATTGTACGGCGCCATTAGTGATGGATTTCTGAATGTTGTTAACTATATTTTGTCGTAGATGCTTATTTCCTTCGGGTATTTAAAAGTCTTTTCTATTCGTTTCTGATTCGATAGAGCTGTATCAGGTTTTATGTCGTATTTATTTTTTATTTGTTGCAATAGTTGCAGTAGGGTTGTTCAGACTTTTTTTTGGATCAGGTATTCGTGAGATGTTATAGTTTTTTCTTTTCGAAGTTGTGTTGAGAGATTGGCTGGTAGAAATGTATTATTAAGTTGTATGGGAACTCTTCTCATTTTGCCAATGTCACTTCCATTTTATAAAGTTGTATATTTTTGTTCTTTTAATTCGAGTCCTTATTCCATTGTTCTTTCACAATATTGTTATAATTCAGTATACATATATCTCCAATATGTTTGCTATGACTTAGCACCATTTTCATTCTAATTAAACTGTAAGTGTATTTTTCGTAATATATTTAAAATATTGTTTTAAGGGAGGAAACCACTGTGACGAATTGAAAAAGTCGAAAATTTTTTTTATCTCTTTTCAGTGCTTGGGGTTTTAAGAATGCCCCTCTAAAATATTGAAGTAAAATTCGCAAAAATGACAAAGTTACAGAAGATTTAGTAGATGAAGAACATGTAATATGCGTAACGATTGAAACTAACTGCTCTTTACTTCGGGACATTCATTTGAAACTCTTTTATTGTTTCTGCTGCGGTAAAGGTTTCATATGAATCAGTAGTATTTTGATCGAGATAACTATGTGAATTAAGAGTATTTAGTCTAGAGCGATAAGTGATGTGATTTAATACAAAACAAACATATGGGACGACCTAATAATATTGTCATTACCTTATAATTGCATTGGTGCTATAGTTCTACATCCGTAAAATACTTACGTCATTCTTATAGTTTCTCTCAAACAAATGTTATGTTCGTCCTTTTTTCATTAGTATAATTTCATTTTAGTCTGAATAATATATAAAAATCATTAATTAATACTCCGAAACTCTCGAAAATTGTGTGTTATAATCATGCTCCGCAGAGTGGGACGAAACCTGGAGAAATAGTTGTAATATCAGTTTCAGTGGTTGTTAATGTGACGCAAGATGTCAAGTTTTAGAATACAAACAATGTCACGAATATTAACGTAAAAATGATAGAATGCAGGACGGAGGACGGGGCCACGTTTAAAGCTGTTAATTTATTTTTTAACCAGTCGAATATCATTACGGTCTATTTAGCTTGTAAGTCATGCCCTCAGACGGGTCGAGCCAATGAATGAAGGATGCATCTCTGCGTTTCTAGCTCGCGAACTTCGTAAAATTCGATGTGCACTCGAGGTACACCGTGTACGTTTTACACGGAGTCGCGTATTAATTTATCAAAACGACGACTAATTAATTTTGTGCGAGATTAATTTAACCGGAACCGTAGGTTAAACTCAATGAAAGCTCGTAACGATATCGTATTCATTTTCCCTGGGGTCTGTCTATGGGCGAGATTTAAACATTTAAACATTCGTTTAGTTGAACATGCGGTATGAGAATTAAATAATATGAACGTCACGCTTACCGGAATAATGGAACTTTCGTTTTCGAAGCAATTCTAAACGATTGTTTTATTGTACCTTCGATCACTTACCATTCTTGATGCAAGTTTCGCAATCACAAGGCTACTCATTCGTCATCAAACCTTATAAATTAAAATCAATACATTTTTATATTCACAAAGTAGTCGTAAAACAAATCTATTCTTTTTCGTGACCATTCCTTGTACAAAGAAATTTAGATCAAATTAAAGAGGGGTTAAGGGGTTAACCTCGAGATAGATAGGAGCCGATTAACGATAAATTTTCAATTTCACGACCCGATCGCGTCGAAAAAGTTCATCGATTCACGCTTCTGAGAACTTCACGGTTCGTCGAACCGTGTAGATTATTAGGTAGTTTCAATTACATTTCCTTATCTCTCGTAATTGTTTATTGCCCGGTTGTGCTTCCGATGTCGTAGTTATGCTTTAGAATTTAGTGCAACGGAGAGTTGATATTACCGTGCGCAAATAGGCGCACCTGAGGCTACACTGCACAACATTTACTAATAGGTTTCCTTACGCTGCCAGTACGCGGTCGCAATTTGTGTACGTATGAGATTGGGTTTCCGCGTTCTATTTTCCCGACAATGCGATGAACTTGATTAATCGTCTCAATGCTGTGGCCATTTTGATCACTCAAGTTTCGTTCAAGACATTTATCGTTATTCTTAAAAAGATATTTAATCAAATAGAAATTGTTTCAGATTGGCTACTTATTGGTAATTTAAAGAAAGAAGCTCCTGTTGGTCTCGATTCTCAGAACCGTAAATTTCATTAAATTCGCGAATGTTAAAAAGAACGAATATATAGTCAGGGACGAAAGTAACTGGACAGATGATAAAATAGGATATCAATGAAATTTAACCAATATAGTCTTGCAATTGCATGCTTAAGCTTTATTTAATATTCATCCTTATAGTATATAGATTATTTAAATACCAATTAAAATAAATATTAACGATCGGTGTAAACCCAAATTTGATTTAAACGAAAAGTCAAACAATGACAGAGAGACAGAAGTAAGTGGACACTACCAATAACTACTAGTTAATATTTGTATTGCCACCTTTTGCCGCAATTACACCTCTAGCCGTCGCGGCATACTGTTTACAAGATTTTCTATGTAATCTTTGTCAATCGTGCCGAATGCTGATTTTAAATTATTAAAAAATTCCATTTTAACCGTTCGCTTGTCCGAAGGAAGTTTGGTATCCAAATTCTACACACCACAAATTCTCTATCGGATTCGAGTCAGGACTTTGTGTTGGCCATTCGAGTAACTTAATATCCGAATCATTAAACAATTTCATACTCTTTTTGGTAACATGTTTCGGATCATGTTGAAAAATAAATTCTTCTTTCAAATTCATTTTTATTGTTGCCTCTTCCAAACTTTCGTTGATTACGCTAATATAATTATCAGCATTCATAATACCATCAATCGGTACTAAGGTTCCAATCCCATGCCATGAAAAACAACCCCATATCATTAATGAGCCACCTTCAAATTTAACCATTGGTGTGATAAATAATTTCTTGTATGTTTCATTTTTCTTTCTCGAGACATTTTGCTTTTTCTTCAATTGTCGCATTACAAATTTTGATTCATCAGACCATACTATCTTTTTCACATATTATGACATATTAACATACTTTTTAGCAAAAATTAAACGTTTTTTCATGTTCTTTTTATTAATGTGAGGTTTACGCCATGCCCTACAAGATTTTAGTTCCACTTCGTGCAATCTTCGCTTTATTGTTTTTGTTGACACGTTTGATCCTAATGCATCTAAAATCTCCCGTGAGGAGATCGTTGGCTCTCGTCGAGAGTCTCGAACAATTCGATGGTCTTCGTGTGTGGTAGTACAACGTTTTTGTCCAGAGCGTCTTAAATCCTCTACAGTATACAGTGGCTCACGAAAGTATTCGAACGCTTACATATGCAAACTTGAATGGCCGAAATAATGTACATTAAAGCAATTTGCTGAAACAAGTAGATGCCAATAGGAAAAGGGAGTCTTAAGATTATGCCAGTAAAATTTGAAATGGATTCAACTACGTAAAGAGGAGTTATGATACATTTATTAGAAACACGCATGGTAAGCGACTCACAAAAGTATTCGAACACTGTAACATTGTTGATAGTTTTTCATTTTCCTTTGCACCGAATGTGAACATTGTTAAATGAAAATATTGGTACGTTCACTTGATGTTAGGATATCGTTTCAGTAACAGTAACGTAAAAATATGCACAATAGTATTTAAAATGAACACCAAAAAGTCTGAAACCAAAACGTGTGAAAGAGAAATAATATTACGATTGCATGAGGACGGCAAATCGTATAACGATATTACCGGGATTGTGAATAGAAGTAAGTCTACAATACATTACATCATAAAAAAGTCAAAGAATGAGGGAACACTTGCAAACAAAGCTCGATCAGGTCGACAAAAGAAATTGACTGGAAGAGAGGAGAAAGTTATCATTCGCGAATTAAAAGAGAATCCTACTATATCCGCTCCTCAACTCGCAAATATGGTAGCTGATATGTTTCATAAAGAAGTTCACCCGGAATTATGTCGACGAATCTTACGAAACAATGATTTTCATGGCAGAGTACCGCGAAAGAAGCCATATATTAATGCAGTAAATCGTAAAAAAAGATTGACTTTTGCGAAAACCTACATCAATAAAGATAATTCTTTTTGGGATATAGTCATCTTTTTGGACGAGTCAAAGTTTAATATTTTTGGCTCAGATGGTCAAAATTATGTGTGGGGAAAACCAAATACAGAATTGGAAATTCGACATTTACATCAAACAGTGAAACATGGAGGTGGATCGGTCATAGTATGGGGGTGTATGGCTGCCAGTGGCACCGGAAATTTAATATTTATTGACGGAATACTTGATAAATATAAGTATTTAAATATTTTAAAGAATAATCTTAAAGAAAGTGCCCGTAAACTAGGATTATTGGCAGATTTCCACTTCCAACAAGATAATGATCCGA